CCGGCAGGGATTGTAGGTGGGGGGAGTGAATGTACAGTGCTCTCTTCCACCTTTAATACCACGACTGAGGTGCCCTTGAGCAAGGCACCGAACCCCCAACTGCTCCCCGGGTGCCGCAGCATAAATGGCTGCCCACTGCTCCGTGTGTGTGTTCACTGCTGTGTGTGTGCACTAAGGATGGGTTAAATGCAGAGCACTAATTCCTAGTATGGGTAACCATACTTGGCCACATGTCTGAAGTCACATGAAGAAAGTCACATTAAAATTTAAAACGGTTATTTTAAATTGTAATAATAGTTCACAATATTACTGTTTTTACAGTATTTTTTATCAAATAAATCAGAGAGCATCGGAGACTTCTTTCAAAAACATCCCATGAATGGAAGTGTGTATGCACAGTATATTAAATAAATAATTTGTTCAATACTTAAACTATATATTTCAGCACAATTTGTGCAAACAAAACTGTTGCCCTCCTGCTGCATTAGGTACAGTGTCAATCTCAGCATATCTTATTATTTGCTCAGCCTGTTGTTATATGTTCACACTGTTCAGCTTTCATAAGGGTTCATCTTGACACTGATCAGGCCAGTTGTGGTCATGTCATGTCAAGAAACATCTCGACTATTCTTTCAGCCTTTTCCAGCTCATCATACACCCTGTTCTGTTACCACACTGGCAGTGACACTTTATTTACAATAAGGACACTCATCCACACTCCACCCTTTTTCCATCTCTCTGTCTCTGGTTTCACTGCTCATCCTTCGAAATGCCTGGACAGAGTGAAAGACAAGAGCCCCTATCCCATGAATTATGCATTGCTGCTATAACTGGCTCTTGTTTTTGATAACACCTGTCAGTTTGTGCTTGCTGCCGGCTTCAGGAGTAACTGAAGTGAGCATTGGTTCGCTGTTAGGACACCCTGTTTGACAGCTTCACAAGTTTTTCCTCACATAAGGCCTAAGATCTGCTTGAAAAAATGTCCAACAACACCAAACCTGTCCTACTTGTGTTTTCTCTGAATTCTTTTGGATTCAAAGATTCATTTTATGATAAATGTTTTGCATTGTCACTGATGGCAAATATGAACAGCATAAGGAACAGCAGGGTAAAGAATTTGAAAAACTGACATCAAGTCTTTAAAATGTTTCCTCTTGAATTCTGATGAAGATATAGATTCATTTTCATGACCGTCTATCTTCTTTGTGATCGCCTTGCAGTTATGGAGGAGTCCGAGATGAGGAAGTCTGTACGATGGAAGGAAACGGGCAGAATAACTCAGACTGCAGAGGACATCATTTCGTCTTTCCTAACAGCCTCTGATGAGAAACAGAACAAACTGCAGGAGGCAGAGGTTATGGACTTGGAAGCTGTTAAACACAACTCTGAGAACAGGAACCCAGAAGAGAGGTCTCCAACAAACATCAAGAGCCATAGCTGCTCTGTAGATCATGGTAAGCATTTAATATTTCAGTATTCTGGTGCTGTGATTAACCATATTGTTTACTTGATGAATAAAATTTATACTTAAGTTGTAGTTCATCCTAAAATTGGAATGGAAGTACTTAAATTTTTCTTGGAACACAAAAGGTAGATATATATATGTATGTATGTATATATATATATATACTGTATACTGTGTATATATATGTAGAAGTGGTCCATATGACTTGCAAAAGTAATCAATAAGATTATCACTTTTTTTTCTTAATTAATACTTTTTTACTCAGCAAGGGTGCATTTAATTCATCAAAAGTAGCAGTAAAAGCTTTTACCTTGTTATAAAAGATTTTTATTTCAAATAAATGCTGCTCTTTTGAACTTTTTATTCATCAACAAATCCTGAAACATTATGTATCACTGCTTCCACAAAAATTAAGCAGCACAAAGTTGTTGCACAAAGTGACACTGAAGAATGGAGTAATGGCTGCTGAAAATTTTGCATTAATAAATTACATTTTAAAATATATTAAAATAGAAAAGTTATTTTAAATTATTATATTTAATAATATTACTGTTTTTACTGTATTTTTGTTCATAAATGCAGCCTTGGTGAGCATAAGAGACTCCTTTTAAAATATTTTAAATAACACACAAGTTATATTGATCACTTTTATGGTGTTTTTAATGGAGCTTGCGAGGAAGCACTATGAACTATTGGTGTATGGAAAAGAGTTGATTGAGATTTCTTTCAAATTATCATTTTGTGTTCCATAAAAAAAAATCTCAGTTTTCAGGTTTGGAATGACATAAGGATGAGTAAATAATGACAGAATTGTCATTTTGGCTGACTGTTTATTTAAGGTTACATTTAAACGTATTGGCTAGTCACATGCGATATTAAGTAGTTTAATAGAATCATTAACCATAAACTTGTTAAAAATGTGCTCAAGAATCACTGGATTGACTGATTTACTGAAGCAATAAGTAGTGTTCCTGAATTCACTCCTGGTGTGATCTCTGTACAGGCAGTCTCTCTGGGATTGCACCACCTGGGCCTAGTCCTTCTCTTCTGGCTGCACTGCAGTCCCTCGTTGAACACAATGATCACATGCTCCTCCCTCATTCCTTACACCAGGTGCGTGCACTGGGAGTTTAAAAAGGTTACTCTCACATAAAGCCCACAACCAAAACAAAAACTTGTTGTCTTTTAATAGAAGTGTGCATATATGCATTTTGGATTACAGATACACCTGGATTGTTAATAAAATAGAAGGATGACGCCTGTACTGTTAACCTGACAAATGTTTCACTAATAAATTACACAGATTTCCCTAGATTAGCTAGATTACTCTTGTTTGGGATATTTTAAGGAAATAAAAGCAGTAATCTTATTCTTTTAAGCTCTTTCTGTGGAAGCCTGTTTCAGCCATGGAATAAAACAACAAAGAAGGTAACTTGGACTTTCAGAACTCGTGCAGTTCTGATTTTATATTTCACAATTTGCACTTTTTTTTCTCACAGTATTTTGAGATATAAAGTCAGAATTGCAAGATAAAAAGTTAGAAATGTGACCTATAAAGTCAGTACAACATAAAGAGATGTTAACTTGCAATTTTATGAAAAAAAGTCAGAATTAACAAATAAACAGAATTGCAAGATGTAAACTCTGAGAATTCTAAGAATTCTGAGAAAAAAAAATCTGAACTGTGAGTGATGGACTCAGAATTGCGAGATGTAAACTCATATCTTGCAATTGAAATTGTGAGAAAAAAGAATTGTGAGATAGAAAGTCGCAATAACTTAAATTTTTTTAAAAACAGAAACAAGCTTCTGTTTTAAACTGCCTAAATAAATTAAGCCAAAACATGATATAAGTAGTACAAAAATAATCTATTCTTGTTTTTCTATATTTTATCAGCATTTCCAGGCATCCTGCATGTAAATAAGCTTCAACACTTATCGACTAAACACCATGCACATTTAAAATCAGATCTGTTAACAAGACAAACTACTGAAATGTGCTCACTGGAGTTGTTTTTTTAATCTCCCTGTAGAGTTATAATAGGGGGAGCAAATTGCTCCTCAATGAGATTATTGTTGTTAGATAAAATCAAGAGTACAAGAGAAAACTATTTATTTTCCTGCATTACACTAAATATAGAAGATCCATGTAAGAGAATGCATTAGATGCGCAAAGATAGAGCAGTTATTTTTTGCACATGACTTTTCTGGTTCACACTCACTGTCAGACCCGTTCACATGTTCATGCAGTATCGTTTAATTCTGTTAACTGTCCTTTTAAAGATGCTCTTCACTACAACTAATGAAATCAAGACTCTAGTAAATTGTTTTTGTATCCTATGTCAGAAACAAGCTTCTGTTTTAAACTGCCTAAATAAATTAAGCCAAAACATGATATAAGTAGTACAAAAATAATCTATTCTTGTTTTTCTATATTTTATCAGCATTTCCAGGCATCCTGCATGTAAATAAGCTTCAACACTTATCGACTAAACACCATGCACATTTAAAATCAGATCTGTTAACAAGACAAACTACTGAAATGTGCTCACTGGAGTTGTTTTTTTAATCTCCCTGTAGCGTTATAATAGGGGGAGCAAATTGCTCCTCAATGAGATTATTGTTGTTAGATAAAATCAAGAGTACAAGAGAAAACTATTTATTTTCCTGCATTACACTAAATATAGAAGATCCATGTAAGAGAATGCATTAGATGCGCAAAGATAGAGCAGTTATTTTTTGCACATGACTTTTCTGGTTCACACTCACTGTCAGACCCGTTCACATGTTCATGCAGTATCGTTTCATTCTGTTAACTGTCCTTTTAAAGATGCTCTTCACTACAACTAATGAAATCAAGACTCTAGATTCAGGTCTATCAGGAAATAGACTTTGATCGACCAGCTGAACACTTGATGAACTGTCTTTGGAAGATAAATGTGGTAAGGAGATGTAATATTTTACTTGCTCATATTTTCCTTCCATTACAGATAGCAGAGGGCTACTTCCTTGAAAAGGACTGTATCCTTTTTACATATTAAATCCACCACTGTAATCATCTGATTTCTGTCTGTTTCCTCTTTGACTTTCCTTTCTATCACTAAATGGTCCCTGTTGATGCTGTTGTCATAGTGACCAGGGCAAGCGTAATCAAAAGAGTCTCATTAGGGTGTGTCTTTCCATGCTGACTTTTAGGGTGTTGCACAAAAGGAAGGATGTTGATAGATTTTTAAGTCATTTGAAACAATAAAAGAAAGATTTATTTTATGATTGTCACCATATGGTCTTGTTAAATTAATTTTTTTTGATGTTTTGAAACAACGTGCTTTGAGTCTCTTACACTATAAATACAATAAACACAGTAATATTGTGGAAATATTATTCGAATTTTAAACAATTGTTTTCTATTTTAATATAGTTTAAAATGTAATTTACAGTAGTCATTACTCTAGTCTTCAGTGTCACATGATCCTTCAGAAATCATTCTAATATGCTGATTTGGTGTTCAAAAAACATTTATTATTATAATTAGTATTATCGATGTTGCAAAATGTTTTGCAGCTTAATACTTTTTGTGGAAAGCATGAAACATTTTTCAGGATTCTTTGATGTATAGAAAGTTCAGAACAGCATTTTGTAACATTACAAATGTCTGTATATACAGTATATATATATAAGTGTTCGTTTCTTTAAGCATTGTGTTGGTTTCTTTAAACATTGAGCTTTTCAGATCAGTGGGCAGTGGAGTTTCTCCAGCTAGAGAAGCTGTATCATGAAAGACTGCTGTCTAATCTGGCCTCCATACAAGAGGAATGGGGTAAGGATGCCAGATGATTATGTATGATATGAAAAAATATTTCCTGAAGTAACTTGAACCAGGGGAGGTCACATTGTTTGCATGTGAGATAATTTCCTAAAGCATTGTTTTATCTTGTAAGGATGAGACTCCTGTTGTAAATAGGGCAATACTGTTGTAAGTTGAATTGCTAGTTTCATCCTTCATAAATAAACAGCAGTGGTATGGTTTGATCTCAGGAAATTGCTCATTTCCCAACTGTACTCCATTGCCCAGACCACATGTGACTGTTACTTCACCAATATCACTGAAGTACAGAGGTCAGACTCTCCCCTCTTATCTAATTTAACTGTCAACATGACCTGACTGTGGAAAAACGAAACCTGAAGAATGTCACATAGCTGTAGCTTTTTTGGTACAAAGTTTTTTTTTCGTGAAATATCAGGAACTATGTCTAAGTATGTATGTTTTTATATTGCTTTCCACATGTTCTGTGAGTACATACTGTATATGTGTGACAGAAAATGAGACGCAGTCAAAATCCATATGTTTGGTTTCAGAGTCCCAGAGGAAAATCATCGTCCAAACCGAAAGTAACTCTCCTTTAAACTCTAATGGAACTGACAGAGAGAGAGAGCATATGGAACTGTTGAGTCATATCTGCAGTACACACCAGAGGTGAGACTGTGTGTAGACGAGAACTCTCCAAGCAAGCAGAGAATAATGATGATTACAGCATTTTTCCCTTCCTAAAATATTTATCCACAGCAGTAGCAGGCCTCATCAAGCCCCATCAAGTTAAACTGATTTATAGGGAAAAACATCAAAAATGACATGAATTTGTACTTTTCTTCATTCTTTTTTGACTTGTTTAAGAGTGTTTTGACCTGTTCCCTATTGTATTTACTTTTAAAAAATACATTTTACTTTGTAAAAAGTTATGTTTAAAGGTGCGTATATATTTATACGTAAAATATTTACAAATAATATTTTTTACATTATTAAAAAAATAAATAATATATTTTATTAATCACACACACTTGTATATATGGTATATATACATACCAGTTATATAGAATCTTACAGTTTAAAAGTTTTTAAGTTGGTTTAAAAGTAATTTTTTTATGTTTTTGAAAGTAGTCTCTTATGCTCACAAAGGTTGAATTTATTTGATCAAAAAAACAGTAAATATATATTGTTTTTACTTTGTAAAAGAGCCTTGAGAAGCTAAGGTATATTAATGTAAAATAAAAGTATGTAAAAAAAAAAAGTAATTCTATAAAATGTAAAAAATAGATATATTATTTGAGAGATATATATATATATATATATATATATATATATAAAATCTCAAATAATATATATATTTTTTTTTACATTTTATAGCATCACTTTAAAAAAAAAATATATAAAATCTCAAATAATATATCTATTTTTTTTTACATTTTATAGCATGACTTTAAAAAAAATATATAAATTAAATATTTAGATGTACATATTATATAAATATTACATACGGATTATAAATGTAGCAAATAATAAATCATTATGTATATTATTTAACAACAGCAGAGTTATAATACTGAAATGAATTTGACAAATTCTACTTCTCCTCTTTCAGACCTAACCTCTTTTTGGAAAAGGTAAAACATTACAATTGTTTTATTATCCACCAGTGCAGTTTATGTTTCTGTGAGTCAGATTAAAGCAGTCTGTTATTGCAGAACATGGACGACATAAGACTACACAACAGCCCAACCCTTGTGTCAGAACACAGAAGATCAAAATCAGAACAAGCTTCAGTGAACTCAACCGAGAGAGAAACCCGGGCAGACGACTGCTCATGGCTGGGAGCTGAACAGGAGCCAGAAGAGGACTGTGAATTGAATGAGGAGGAGGAAGAGGACGAGGAAGGTCTTGAGGAGGATGAGTGCTGGAATGAGGAGCTGCAGGATGACACAGTCGTTGATGGCCAGGTTCCTGTGGATGAGCTGGCCAACCATATTCAGGTACAAGAGTTAAGACGCTGTAGGAGTAATTTTAATCTCTTACATATTACCATCTGCCCTTAGAAAAAATAAGCATGCTGAGACACCATCCGTCTGCTGCAGTCTTTCCAAACCATTCGCTTACTGAACGATTTGTATTCCTCAGGGCCTAAATATGCAATGTATTAATCTTGGTCCTCAAATTGAATTTTTATGACTTTGTAAAATGTCTAATGGGACTTTCTTTCAATTCTCAGGCCACATTTCTTAGCCACAGGGTTTCATGAAAGCAAAATAGTGTGATGTCATCCACAGCGTTATGGCAGCCAGCTGCAGGAATTTTATAAAGAAGCGTTCAGGGAGTGTATGGTTTCTCAAAGCTATTGGGTGTGGTTGTCTTAAATAACACTCCAACTGCATAAACCTTCTCCAGAACTGTGTCAAAGTTACTGACTTTTTCAATCAACAAACACAACAACTGAATGATGATTACATTATTTGTTTGTTTGTTAAACACAGTTATTTTATACAGATTTGAAGCTATTTTGTTTTGGCCTCTGATTTGACTTGGACTGATTTGACACACAACAACAACAACAACAACAACAAAACTCATTTTCACATCATGATATACTATGAGGCATATTAGAAAAACAAACATAATGAATGACTTTAAAGAAAAGCATTCCAAATCTGTATGACTGACTTTCTTCTGTGGAACACAAAAGAAAATATTTTTAAAAAAACGTTTCAGCTGTTTTTGTCAATACAATGAAAGTCAGCTGGGTCCAAAACAAAACACCTCTGTGAGGATGAAAAAAAAAACACGGATACATTTGACAAAATATTTTATTTTGTGTTCTACAGAAGAAAGTAGATCATACAAGTAGATTTTGAATAAGCAAATGATAACAGAATATTTATTTTAGGTGAACTATCCCTTGTGAAAAAGAAGTGCGCCGAAATGAATTGAATTTGCACTTGAAGTGTGCTTCAAATCTTAAAAGTATATTTAAAAAAATATATGAAATAAACACTTTCTTAACACTTAAGTACACCTTTAAAAGGTGCACTTAGTAAAATTAATTTTTGATTTTAGATCACTGTTTTAATATTTTTTTGGCATGCTTTATGTAAGTACACTTGTTATAATTGTAGAAATAATTATGAAATTACATATAACGATGTACTTAAGTACCACTTAAGTGGGTTAAAAAGCACTGATAAATTTAAATACATTTAATATAAATTTTAAGTAGTACATTTTCATTTAATTGTTAATAACATGCAGTTATGTGTCTAAAAATATACCATTTAGTTCGCACTTAAGTATATTCTTTAGGATAATTTCCATAAGTACTCTTTTTAAAAGTGTACTACTTTTTCCCAAGTATCCCTTTAAAGTCTGATCACAATAATGCAGTTCAGTTCATTATGATATTGCACATGCTGACCCCTAGTGGTTATTGGTTGTTATTACATAATTTGCCATGTACATGATTCTTAAAAATAATTTATGCATCAAATTTTGTATTTTATTAATTTCAAACTTTATTTCTGATATTTCTGTAGAGGTTTCCCTCAAATGGCTTAGTCTCCATTTTAAAGAAGAGAGTCTACGAGAATGCCTTGCCACTAAAAGACTCAACCATACGCAGAGTCCGCTTTAGAGAGACAGACGATGCTTTCGATCAAGGTATGATTGTAAACAAATATTCACACAGGGCCTTTAAGTATTCGCATTTCTGTTCTGCATTAATGTGAGACTGATCAAACCTCATCTTTCTCATGCATACAGATGAGTCGGCCAGAAACTCTTGCCTCATCCTTCTCATCTTGTGTCTGGTTACCGTCGTGATTAGCATGGGTGGGACTGCTCTTTATTGTCTTGTTGGAGAGGCATACTCAAATGTGTGTGTCGACTTCTTGCAAAACGTGGACTTTTACTTTGGACCTTTACGACGAGGAGTGGACGCTCTCGCACAGTGGCTCTCTTCTGATGGATCATAGCAGCTATTTTATGGCTAACTTAAGTGGAACTCTTTCTTTATATTATCATTTCCGATGATAAACAACAGTATTTCTCTTGAGATAATATGCACTAATGCACATTACCAGACTGGCCTTAATAAATACTGCTTTAGTGAGTCTATACAAATTACACAGGGCTTCCTAATGCATAAATTAATTTGTATAAAATATTTAATATTGGTACAAAAACAAAACCGAATATTACAGATAATCCTAATATACCACTTATTACAGATAGTCTTAATATACCACTGCCATTCTTTGAATCAGTAACTGTAACATTGAAATAACTGCCTTTGGAGCCAGTAATTTTGTTTTTTTGTACATTTTAGTACTCCAAGACACTACATGCCACGATTATCTTTGTATTTATGTTTTTATTTTGAATTGGAACTTTTCATTAACGCTATAATCACTGAAATTCATACAGTATGAACAAAAATACGCATAAATTGGTGGATGTTAAAGGAATAGTTCACTCAAATATGAAAATTAGCTGATAATTTACTACCCTTCAGTCCATCCGAGATGTAGATGAGTTTGTTTCTTCATCAGAACAGATTTGGAGAAATGTAGTATTACTTCACTTGCTTACAGATGGATCCTCTGCAGTGAATGGGAGCTGGCAAAATAAGAGTCTGAACAGCTGATAAAAAAAAAAAAACATCACAGTAATTCATAAGTAATTCACACGACTCCAATCCATCAATTAACATCTTGTGAAATGAAAAGCTGAAAAGTGAAATGATAACAAATCCATAATTTGTTTCTTATAACAAATGATGGATTTGTAATAAGAAACAAATCCATCATTCAGGAGTTTCAATTTTAAACAACACATATTAACCGAGAAAGCAATTTTATGGATAGAGGACTCAAATTTTAAGCAACTGTTTGAAGTTAAAAACGTCTTGATGAATTTGTTTCTTACAAACACGCAGCTTTTCACTTCGCAAGACATTAATTGATGGACTAGAGATGATCATTCACTGCAGAGGATCCACTGGTGAGCAAATGATGTAATGCTACATTTCTCCAAATCTATTCTGATGAAGAGACAAACTCATGTAAATTTTCGATGGCCTGAGAGCAAGTCAATTTTCAGTAAGTTTTCATTTTTGGGTGCATTATTGCTTTAACTATGGGATATTTACTTACCAAATGGTTTTATAATTGACATAGCACATTAAAAGGCTGAATAGTAGAATAATGATGATTGATCGTTCTGACTTGATTATGTAAGATCAGTGTTGCTCCAGCACTTCTTTTATGGACAGCATATATGAAAATTTTATAATTGTACAGCAATTATAAAAAGACAGCAATCAATCAGTTTTTTTTTTACAAATATGATTTGTGTTCAGCAATCAAAGTGAGTGTGAGTTTTTGTGTTATGAATAATAGGGGGAATATTTTAATTTTAAATATTTTAATATGCTCAGAACCAGAACCCTGTTTTGTTATGTGTTTCTGTTTTTTCCCCCCAAATAGTATACATGATCTCTGAATTATGGCTGGAAATGTGTTTTTTATATATTGAAAGTGGTTTATGGTTTATGCTGTAGCTCTGTCAATAATAATATTGGATTGGTCCTCTGAATGGAAGAGAAGATGACGCAACAGTAAATGGAATCGGCACACATAATAAAACCCATGGTGAAGTAGGAGCATTTCTCTTTGGAAACCCACACACACCCACAGACTGACTCAGCTCATTTCATTTCAGAATCCAATAGCAACTTCTCTAACAATTGAAACTTTAAGATGCACAGAGCAAAAAAAAATATTATAGTGACACAGGCCTGATTAAGAGGCATTTTCATGATCATTATAGCCTTGCCAAATGAACAATATGCTTGAATTTGAAATGCGACTAATGCAAAGTAGGCTATGTATTGAAATAATTCATTCATATTGCTTAATTTAATTTTACAATATGTGAATCATCAAAAAAAAAAAAACTTAACAGTTGGGGCCAAAGGTCTGAATATAATAGTTTGTAATAAAAATGTATTCATAAATAGAAAATTGTTTTAAATTGTTGTAAATTGATAAATAGAAGCATTTTCAGAAGTGGTCTGACTATGATTTCTTCAAATCAGTGTTTAATTCAGTCACTAACAGGCTGCAATCTTACAATTTATCAACTGACATTCAAATGTAATTTATTGCTAGGTATATACATATATTTGCTTTCACATGTTAATGGTTACAAAATATACTTGCACCCTCCTCTGTGTAACTGTTGTGGTAATATCAACTTTCCAGCACGAGATGTCTCTACTTCATTGTGTGACAGTTTCTGGAATTTGCACCCACAAACAGTGGGATTTATGGTTTAGCTACACTTATCAGAAACACAAATTGATGCACTAAACGCCTGTATTTTGCACTGATGCTGTACAGTGACAGCAGAGGAGCAGCAGCGGCCGCTCTGACCTCGTCTCTGTGTTTGCTTCGCGCGCAGATCACAGACACAATGGCGACGCTCACATCGTCAAGCAAAAGACCGTAGCGTATCATAGCCAATAGTGTTCGGAGCGACCGGCTTCACCGCTCAGTTTGTAGGAGGTTGCGCGGACGTGTTGCCCGGAGGGACGTTACAATGGGCTGTAGCCGGACGAAACCGCGACCGACTGCAAAAAAGCACCCATTCAGGCAGCACCCATTCACCCATTTGTACTTTTCAGTTTTCAGCGTTATTGTATTTAACATTGAAGTGCCCATGCCACAAATAATATAAATAATGAAATAGAACAGAAAAAATAATAGTAACCGATTAGTAAATATTTACAAGCAGCGCCACAAAACGATTTTTTTTTTTTTACATAGCCTAGCCTACGTTGTACATGTGTATTGCTAGACATACGTGTGAGTTTGTAGTAACATAGTAATAAAATGTATCATGGTACCCTAAAATACCACATATGCTTTTCTATAGTGTAAATTATATATATTTTAAATGATATAAATACAATGCACATATGTTATGGATGATAGGTCATAGTTTGTATTAGGTATAGGCCTAGATTGAATTGTCATGGCTAGACATGAGGCAGTGAGCTCATAGTATTAGTTGAGCTTCAGCAGATTTTGTCTGTTGAGATTATCAAATGGGATTACAGGGTTTGAGAATATTGTTGATTAAAGGCATAATGTTTGGACAATCCCATCATCATCTGGAATAGGCTGTACTGATAATCAAGGATTTTAAATCTATCTATCTATCTATCTGTCTATCTATCTATGCATTACATAAAATGTAATAATTTGCAGCATTTGAGCTGTTAGAGAAGAGAGATCCATCTGTCTCTGACATTCCATCATTTGTCTGCAGGTAAACCAGAGCTGAAGTGTGTGGAGGTTATTGTAACAGATGTAACCGAGACAGAGTCATTGGCCATCATGTGCAAACAAGGCATCATTGTGCTCAACTGCGTGGGACCAGTAAATCCACAAAGAGTGTAAGACTATTGTAAAAAAGCACAGGAAGGGGTCAGTTTACACATCTGTGCATTCACACCTGTCCCGACGCATCCATAGGCCAATGATAGCTCTATGACAAAAAATGATAAATGGAGTTGTGTTATTCTGAGAGAACTGTTGACTGTGAAATGCCATGGTGCATAGTTGTCTTCTCTCAACAGTACAGATTCTATGGAGAGACCGTGGTGAAAGCCTGCATAGAGAATGTGGCCCACTGCATTGATATCTGTGGAGAACCATAGGTAGTTAATGATATTCTTTCAACACAGTTTTCTTGCTCTATAATCTACTTTTTAAAGAGATTCCATTCAAAGGTTTGAGGTCTGTAAGATTTTTTTTTAAGTGTTTGAAAGAAGTCTCTTATGCTCACCAAGGCTGCATTTATTTGGTCAGAAATCCAGTAAAAACAGTAATATTGTGAAATATGTTTTAAAAGTAATTTATTCCTGTGGTGGCAAAGCGGAATTTTCAGCAGTCATTACTCCAGTTTTAAGTGTCAAATGATCCTTCAGAAATCATTCTAACATGCTGATTTGGTGCTCAGGAAACATTTCTTATTACTATCAGTTGTGTGCTACTTAATATTTTTGTGGAAATCCTGATACATTTTTTCAGGATTCGTTAATGCTTTAAAAGCATTTATTTGAAAAATAAATCTTTTGTAATATTTGAAATGAATTTTTATGTCAATTTAATGCATCCTTGCTAAATAAAAATATTAATTTCTTAAAAAGCCTGACCCAAAATGTTTACATAGTAACACAGATCTTTTTGATTCTTGTTTTTTTTTTTTTTTTTAGTTTTTTTAGACGGAACTACCACAGTAAAGCTCAGGAGAATGGTGTATCATTGGAAGCTGTGGATTTGATTCAACACCAGCAGATAAAGATGTCTGTAAAGATGTTTTATTATTATTAAAATAATTTAAAATAATTGATTGTTTAAAAAATTACATCATAATCATTTATTATTAGTAATATTATATATATGACTTAATGTGACTACTTCTGATCTACAGTACAGGGAAACTCCATTAGAGAAAAAAATCTTAACAGGTTTAGAGGTGTGCTTTGCATCAGTGTTCTAATGGTAAAACATACATACGTTACTGTGATATTTGCCCTGTGTGTGCCCTTTTACCTTTGCTTCACACAGCCCTTGTGCTGTCGGTTTCTTTAATCTCATTCCAATTAGTGGGAAGTATCAGTGACAAAGGCAAAGGCGCTCAGTATTTACAGGATGTGAGTGTCTGTTATTCTCCTTTGAAGCGCTGCTGTGGGCAAACGTGCCTGCACAGCAGCAGATGCCTGACAACTCCTCTGCCTGGCTTTCACAGGAACACTCACTGCTGTGGAGAGCTTTTTAACCATCAACACGGGACCTGAGGTGAGCAACAACTCATCATGTTTGCAGATCTATATTAAGGGTCCACTGGAATTTGATTGATTTATTGAATATGAGCTCTCAAAGTTTGGTTTGATCTAGGTTTAAAGCAGTGCTTAAATTAAGCTTTGGGAATCCACAGTTGCAAGCTGCTCAAGAATAATGCGAAGAACTCTCATATCCTGGGATTTCATGCTAATGAGAAACTTGATTGCAAAAGTGACAGTTTTTTTATTTTATTTTTTTTGATTAAAAAAATTATTCTGAAACACTTTTTATTTACATTAAGACTTCATATAAATTCCAGTGTAAGAGGAGCAGACAGCATGAAGTGAATATGAAGAAAATTATGGTCCATATTATGTAGTATTTCATTAGCACTCTATCAAATTGTTATCGTATTTCTTGCTGTTTTAATCGGATATAGAGATATTTAAGAGAGCTATAGCAGATTGTTTGCATCAGGCCCATTGCATGTCCTCAGTAAAGTAGTTGATGTCTTGGCTTTTGTTCAGCTGTCTTGTCTTCTTCATCAGGGAGGATGTGGCCATGATGCAATGTGGCAGTCAGCCATGGCTTTGCTGACAGTGCCAGTCTCAGAAGAATAAGGAAGAAGTTTGGGCATAAACCTCTGCCAGTTGTCGGCACTAG